TAAAGTTAATATTTGAAATTTTATTTTAAAAATTTTATTTTAAAAAAAATTTCAGGGCAAATTTGCAGGAGAAACGGGTTAAGGGATAATCATATTTATTCATCGAATGAAAATAAAAATTTATGACTTGGCTTTAAAAAAAATTTTTTTTACTTTAGCTTTACAGAACGAGAAATTTATTGACCAGTAATTTTTAAGATGAATACATTATAAACTAATGTGAATTATATAAGTCTTTTACTTACGGAAGATTTTATTTATAACTAGAATTATCCATCGAACGATTTAGAATAAAATCAATGACGTAACTTTACAGAAGATAAATTATTTGATTTGTCATCTTTAAGCTGAATACATCATAGGCCAATATAAATCATGTTAATATTTTATTTACGCAATATTTTGCCTTATAGTTAGAGTTATAAAACGAGTGTTTAAAATAAATATTATCTTAAAAATTGATGGCACTTTACAGAAAAAAGAAATCGGTTAATCTGCCATCTTCATGCTGAATGCATTATAAGCCAATGTAAATCATATCAATATTTGTATGTACTTACGCAAACTTTGATTATTATCGAATATTTTAAATTACAATTTATTTGTAAAATTGTTGGCTTTAGAACCGGTTAATTTGTCATCTTTAGGCTGAGAGAAAAAGACCAAACAAACCAATATGTCAATTTATCTTTGATAAAGTTTATTTGATTGTTACTTTATGTTGTGTAGCTTTTCAACCATCTTTATAAACTTATTATATATTATCGTAATTCACACTTATCATTCTCATGATCTCTCTGATTACTTGCTTCATTTTTTTTTTGTTCTTTTTCTTATACTTTCATGTTAGTTCTAGAGATCTGAACTGTATCAGATATACAAATTTGTCAGTCGGGTGAAAAGGTGAGTTTAAAAAATATAATATGGGGAATTATAGATTAAAAAGTGTGATAAATGTTTGTGTTGCACAATTTATTTTTAAAATAATAATTCATGTTTATTAATAATATAATGAAGACTTCTTTGTAGTGGGGCTTTTAGAATTTTTAAAGAATTGTTTTCAAATCGAAAAATCTTGATAATTTATTAACCAATATAGGATAAAAAGTGTAAAAACAAATACTTTAATTTGAATTGAAAATTTTAAAATCGACCAAAAGTGCCGAAAGAGAGTTTTCTTAATCCATTCCAGATATTAGATATCTTTATGCAATATAGTCAACATAATATTAATTTGGTCATCCTTTTCTTTGACCAATAGATCTTAGTTTTGTTCTTGATATACCGATTCATTTCTAATTCTTCCTTGGTTCATTAATTATATTCCATTACATCTTCTTGTAACTTCTGTTGCATTATTACTTCTAATCTCCATTGCTCCCGTAACCGGTTTTGTATATTAGCTGAATTATCCAAGTCGTAGATGTAATTATCTAGTTTCAAACTCTAGTTAAGTGGGACCACAAGATGAAATTTATTTTTATTACCTTTAGTTCTAAGATAAAAGGTATTGAAATCTGTTAAATGACTATAGTATTGCTTTTTTTTTAATATATATATATATATATATTATTACAAAAATTTTTAAATTGATTAATCAATTATATTTTTGAACCTCTCAAAATCGACTTTGTTAAAATCTATCAAGTCTGTTTCCGCTATATAAGTATTATTATTATGTTTTCAGTTCCGATAACCTCTCAATAATGATATAGTGCTCCGAAAGAGTCATTCGGGTCGGGTTTGGGGTTGAACCCATTGTCGTGGTGACGACCAACACCCTTGTGTTGATAGTGCTAGGGTTAGGTACGATCACGGGTTACCAAGTCACGATCGGGTAACGTCAATGGCGTGATCGTTGATGCATGAATTTAATTTATAGTATGAATTATGAGAGTTCAAAATAATTAGAATAACAAGAATAATTGGAGCTTCTAGAAATTCCATTATATGCAAAATCAATTATGTAAAGGAGGTGTCTTCATTTCGCAATAAAAATACTCAGAATTCAATATTGAAAAGGTTTTTGTTTCACTAAATCCTCTCGATAAGTAGTTGTGGCGTTAGTTTAGAGATCCAGGGCTCTAATCTATTCATCATAATTACCCGAACCAAATCTTTCAGCCACGATCGAAGTCCTTCCATTATTAGACATAGATTAGATTGTATAGAGTTTTGTGTAGATTGTTTTTATAGTTAGTTGGTTGTTGTGTATAGCTCTAATCATTCCTCGAAGCAGTCCACATTTTGCAACTTACGTAGTAAAAGCTTATTGATCAATCCTTCTTTGAGGCCTGCACTATTTATGCAAGGGAGTGCATTATAATTTTGGTGAAACATATTTTTATTCAATTCTTTAAATTCAAGTCTCTGAATTGATTTCAATAAACCATTTTCTCAAATTTTAGGATGGAAACTAATGAACACCCAGCCTTATTTAACAATTTAAAATACGTATTTGGATCTATTGGAACCGTTTTATGGTCTTTCCAACTACTTCCTCAAGGTAACAATAGTTAATCCTATTTTGGTGAATAACAACGTTGTAATTTTATAATTTTTTTTAAACAAAGTCCACAAAAATTGGCGTAATAGATCAACAGAAGGTATGTTACAGTAATATTAGATACAAAATTAGAGGCATCATTAAATATGCATTGAATTAAAAAAGAGTTTCTGCCGGTTGTATGATTAAGTTATGTAGATACGCACAAATCCAATTTTGTTCGCGTTCGTTTGACTAATCTTGGATAAAATTAGTGCAATTTAATGAATAATTCTATGAAAATTATTATTGTGGTTTATGCTGAAATTTGTATCTATTTTATATGAAATATGAATTAGTATTTAAGTTAGAAAAGGTATACGTAGATTTTATAGTTTATATTTCAGCATCAGCCGCGGCAATTATTAATTCAATGAATGGATTTAGACTATTATTATTATTTAAATTGTCCTTAATTAATATTGCGTTAATGCTCCCCATTTTTTGTACAAAAAGGTCTCTCACCTCTTACGATGTCTTTTTGGGTTTGTAGCAATTTTCAAATTTAATTGACTTTTCAAACTTAATTAATTTTTCAAATTTAATTAATTCAGCGTTTTTATAATGATAATTTTTCCTACAAATCATTTATGGTAAAAAGGCTGCGTCATGCTTGTTTTACGTAATCTACGCGATAGTATCTGAAATTTCAATCGTTATTATAATTCAACAAGAGATATTTGGTGTACTGAGCTCAATATGTTTTATACAATGCATGTATTATGATAATTCCAAGTTCATTCGAAACAAAACAAAAACCGGATTTTTATTTATTTTTATTTGCATAATGTGGGCCGGGTTACTAATTATTTGTGTCTTTGGAATTAAGGTAATTATTTTTATAATATTATTATTTATTATATTTACCTGTATTAATTTTATTACATCTTATTATATTCTTTTTATTAAATTTACTACATTATTTGAAATCTAGCTTTCAAATAAAAATAATATCAAATGGCCAACCATAGTTTCTGGGATAATGCCCACAGCACTAGTCTTTATCGGATATGTACCCCAATATTACGAAATCTATCGTTCGTTATTTATTCATTCATTAATTGAATTTTTTTTTTCTTATATTCACAAAAAAGGATTATTTCTAATAATCTGTTATTTTTATTTATTTCGTACGCATGTACCTTATTTACAGGTAGAAAAATAGTATGTGGCATTTCATTGATATTTTTAGCAATTGACATGCTTGGAGCTGCTTTTTCTGCATTAAGTTTAGGTGAATAGATTTATAACTTTTAAAATTCTATAATCAAATTCAGCCTTTATTAACTTTCTTTTTAGCATTTTATCCGCCTCCATTTGATGCTTTAGCTGCATCATGTTATTTTACTATATTCACATTGGATTTGATCATTATAATATTATATTATTTACTTAATTTGATGCACAAAAAAAATTCTATTGACTATAATAACAGAGAAGATAGTAACCCTAGTAATGATGAAATTATTGAGACAATAATTGATGATAAACTCAATGAAAATTGACTAATTTATACTTTTTTATAATATTTATTTAAAATTTTGACCGATATAATTTGTTATACGTATATGGATACTGTATGTAGTGTATTAATTATCGTTATTTACATGCGAACTTGGTTGTATCAGCCTTTTCAAATTAGACCGTGCAGATTTTCCTAGGGTTAGTGCAAAGATTTACAGTCAAAATTTCTTTATAATTTTAAAGAAATTTTCATCTGACTAAAGATATTTTTTGAAATCGCTTTCGTTATTACTCTCGTAACTGCTAACATTTTCGAAAACAAAGAAATCGGCCGATTTATCCAGACGACGGTTTAATAAGAGTTAATTTCTCATTATTTTGCGGTTTGCAAAAAAATGGGAAATTTGCAGATCAAAAAAAAAAAAGAAAGAAATCGATGATTTCTGATTTCCGATTTCTCTAATAACATTACTTCCCGGGATGCACAAAGCGTTTTTTTTTTTTGTCATCTAGAATTTATTTATTTATTTTTATTTTTTATTTTTTATTTTTTTTTGGTATTAAGGTGAGGCCTTGCTCATATCTTTATTGATTAATTTATATAAGTAATTACATATC